ACACACACACACACACACACACACACACACACACACACACACACACACACACACACACTACGTCATAACTCTCTGGCTTTGCTCCAGTGTTTTGCAAAGCTGCTCATTCTGGCTGCTGAAGTCACTTAAACACTGTGGAGAGCGTTTGATGATGAAGTTAAGTGTGAAGTTCTGATTTGAAAGTATAATCAGCTGCCCGTGTTTACGGTTGACTCTTATATTCACCCTGATCCCTAATATGTTAATGTGGAAGTAGTCCAGAGAATGAGGAGTGCAGCGGTGCAGTTTTAGAAAATAAAGATTTGGTTTCATTCCTTCCAGCGGAGGGCCATGCGATCAGCTCCACAGAAGCTGAGGAACCACAACAACGCGAACCAGACTAACTTGATCCAGAGCAGCCCCAGAACCCGGGTCAACCGCTACATTGGTCGGCTGATCGAGGCCCGTCAGACTGAGTCGGACACAGCAGACCTCAACTTCCTCACACTCATGTACAAGTGTTCTGAGCGCGAGCAGAAGGTGAGCCAGATATGTGCTCTGTGTTTAGAAAGAATCCGACTTTACAAATTTACAGTACAAATTTTAAAAATCATCAATAGTTTAGATTTTTTAAGCTTATTTAATGCTGACAACAAGAAACCAAACTCAAAGCTCCAATTTAGGGGTGGATTTAGATGATATTCTTCAGTAAGACATAACTTTTTTTTTACTTTTAATTCTCCTACTACTCCCTCAGAATTCTACAGGCTGGCCTGTGACTTTATGGATGTCAAGCTAAAAAAAAAATAATCCAAGTTTTGTTTTTGTTACAGGCTTTCTGTGATAAAAGGCATTTATGAATGTTTTGTTTTTTTGAGGGAGTGAAAGTAACTAAACTTTGTTTTAATGGATGGCCCAAAGTTTCACATATTTGATGTGCTTGAAAGGTAGTTGAAGTGAGGAAGTGATCATGTCATTAAATCCTCTCTGTTTTTGTTGTTGTTGGATTAGTACCACCAGGTTCCGGATGAGTACTTCACCAGCGCAGTGGTCCTCTCTCTGATCTTAGCTGCCTTGTTCGGCCTTGTTTATCTTCTCATCATACCACAGTATGTGCACCACTTAATGGTTACTTATCTCTATTTTAAAAGTTTCTGACATACACTTTTTTCCCCCTAACGGTTTCCTTTCTCTTTTTTTTTTAAACTCAGGGGCACAGTGGTACTCGTCCTTCTTGTTTTCTGCATCTGCTTCCTAGTAGCTTGTATAATGTACCTCCATATTACTAGAATACAGGTAAACACGTTTTCTTTTTCATACTTGATTGATTTTCATGCTTTAGCGTGTTAAGTGCTTCTTACAATACAGATGATAAAAAAATGTTTTAGTGTCCCTCGCGCTGTGTAATTAACTCTCCCTGGTTTTATCTGCCAGTGTTTTCCAGGGTGCCTGACCATTCAGATTCGTACTGCTCTCTGTATTCTCATAGTGCTCTTAATCTATGCTGTGGCCCAGGCCTGTGTTGTAAGTCTCAAAAGCAACATTTAAAATGTTAAATCCATTCATTTGTTGAAAATGTTTCATTTTCAAGTTTGTGTGACATCTCTACTTTTTTATGTTAATTGGCCAATCTGCGTTTGCTTGGCTTCTGACAGGTGGGCTGTATGCCCTGGTTGTGGGGCAGTGCCAACGCGAACAGCTCCGTTGTCATCATCGATGTGGACAGCGAGGCCAACCGCACCGTGACGGAGCAGCCCTGCGACGGGGCCCGCTACGCCTTCCTCTCCTGCGTGGTGGGCACCCTCACCTTGGCGCTTTTCCTGCGCGTCTCCTGGCTGCCAAAGATGGCGCTGATGCTGCTTGTGGGGGTGCTGTATGTCACCGTGTTGGAGCTGAGCGGCTTTCGCAAGACTGCAGGGTGAGGTTCATGGCACGCCACCAAAAACACTCACTTCAGACTCSTGTTATTTTTCAAACGGACGCCTTCTACCAGAGTTGTGAAGTAACTAAGTACAAATACCTCTTTACTGTACTTATGGTAAGTACAATTTTTGGGTATCTGTACTTTACTTGAGTAATTATTTTTCAGCCTACTTTTTACTTCTACTTATTACATTTTTAAAAAAGCTAAGAAGTAGAAAGTAGTTACTCCTATTTCATTACAGCTTATTAAAATATCCTCCTGGATAGAGTGAATTTAATTGTGGTTGGAAGAGAAGAATAAATATATATTATGCTGATCCTGTATTAGTTTGTACACAATCCATCATAGCTGCAAATAACACAAATTATGTCACACTCCAGCAGAACATAGCAGATATACTGTATGTATCCTGGTACGAAAATGTCTGTGGCATATATATATATATATATATTGAAACGGGTGTAGTGCATCCTAATTTTTATAACATTAGCATTTTTATATGWCAATATAGCCATTTTGGTCTTTAGAAAAACGTTTTTTTAGGGGATCAACTCCCAATAAATGTCATTTTGGGAAGTCTAGCCACTCATTTTCACTCAATACTTTTACTTTTAATACTTAAGTACATTTTATGTCAGAAATTTACTTTTGAGTACAAAATATATTAGATACTTTAAGACTTTTACTCAAGTAATTAGAGCAGACATGAACTTTCACCAAAGTAAATTCATGGTAAGATACTTGTACTTTTACTCAAGTATCACTTTGAGGTACTTTAWACAACACTGCCTTCTACCAAAGTTGAATCCTGGATGCAAACATTGAGCAATTGTCCTTTTTTTGTTTTGTTGTTGGTTTGAATCTGAAACGCATGCTGGTAAACAGGAGTCGGAACATTTACAGTCCATGTGCTGAGATGTATGCGTGTGTGTAGAGGAGTTGTTGCTTGTCTTCAGCCCACGCACTCTTTCATTTCCACCATTTGAAGCAGCGCACATGCTTATTAGCTCCAAATCAGAAGCCTGAAAGGACAATGTGGGCAGGATGATGGGAGCAYGTTAGCTCTGTGCTGAAGAGCCTGGCTAATTTTATTAGAGCTCAGAGTGAAAATTTTATTATGTTCATTTTTGTTTTCCAGTTTAGCAAGAGAAGTCAATTTTGTTTAAATGGAGTTATGTTTCACATTGTGTTTAATGGTTCAAGAAAATATATTAAAGTTAGTTTTTTTTTTCTTTGAAATATCATCCTTCAAAGAACAAAAAAAAATCTACTTGACTCATGTTCTTCCTGAACGCTGTGGTGGGTCCAGTCCACTCTCCCATGTTGTTTTCTTTGTGGTCTGCCCTATTGCTGACTTCTGTATGTGTGTGTGTCTCTTCCACAGTGGGGGGTCCTTCCACATCCGGGGCTACGAGCCCATCCTGTCTCTGTTGCTCTTTGTCAGTGCGCTGGCCCTCCACTCCAGGCAACTTGACCTCAAATTGCGCTTGGACTTCCTTTGGGCTGTGCAGGTTGGAAAGTTTGCACTGATGTGTCTGCTCAAGCGTGAAAAAGGCTGTGAATGTTGAGATGCGTGAACGTTTGCACGGTAAAACAAGCTTTAGCAGGAATGCCGTCATTTCGGCTCTGATATATTGGGTTAAGTGAGGAGTATATAACAATATAGACTGCCAGCAGCCTCTTTCTTGGCAAAAAACAAGTGTAAGAAGCTTATTTTGGCCCTGTACTGTGTTGAATTAAGAATGCCACAAACTTGGATAAAAATATGGAATCTACATTTTAAACAGTTTAACWAATTCTTTAAGTCAATTCGCCCTATTGTAAAACTTCAGTTGCACAAGTCTTTGAAGGCTTTTTACTGACTCCATGTGGTGAGAATGTGGAACAAGCTCCCAGCGTTTATTTGATCATTTGCTTTGCCTTCCAGGCAGAGGAGGAAAGAGACGGGATGGAGAAAGTAAAGCTGGACAATCGGAGGATCCTCTTCAATCTACTGCCTGCCCACGTGGCTCAGCACTTCTTAATGTCAAACCCTAGAAACATGGTGAGCCACGCTAACAAACAGGCAGGCAGTCAGACAGACAAACAGGTAGATCAAAAGGCAGAAAACCAAAGTTAGGAGGACGTCAGAGGCGCTCTTTTGTTAGCTTCACTGTTTTCTTTTGTTTCCCCGTTAGGATTTGTATTATCAGTCCTACGCTCAAGTCGGTGTCCTGTTTGCCTCGATCCCAAACTTTAACGATTTTTACATTGAACTGGACGGCAACAACATGGGAGTGGAGTGCCTGAGGCTGTTGAATGAAATCATTGCTGACTTTGATGAGGTCTGATACACATCTTTATATTTGATCTTTACCTTTTGATGCCTGGAGGCAGCTTGCACCTTGGCGTCTGACTGAATGCATGTTGTTTTTCAGCTCATGGATAAGGAGTGCTACAAAGACATTGAGAAAATCAAAACCATCGGCAGCACCTACATGGCAGCTGTGGGACTCGTCCCCACTGTGGGCACAAAGGTGGCTTTCCCTTTTTGCTTGTTTTTTGTGACTTTTTTTCCATTTTATAAAATTAGGAATTTTAAGGGGAGCATTAGATACCACTTTAATGCATTAGCTCACATGTTGTGAAGGGGAGTTTATGGTTAAGTTATGAACAATCAACATTTTGTTTACTGTAGATAAATTTAATCTGAAGAAAGGGGATGAAATTCTGATTGAATAGGTGAGCTWATGGCTAGTGCTAGTACATAACGGATTGCTGCTTTCTTAAAATTTCAAAAAATTCTATTGTTTAATACAAACACTATTTTATCAGCTTTTGCAATGTTATCAATTTTGTATCTCACGGTTATTCCAGCAGGAATATTAGGATATTTCTGACAGATGTCCTGCACCCGAATTGTTACAGCTAGCTGCTAATGTTTTTATTTATGCTTGCATTAACCATAGAATTCTGTGTAAATAACAATGTAATGTCAAACTGATGGCAAGGTTTATGAATAACAGCATTATAAGACTTTTGAGGCTGAAGATTTAAAATGGCAAGAATCTGCTTCTGTTTTGGTCTGATTCAAACAAGTCAATAACTTGTAAGAGTGGTTGGTCTTAAAGGGCCAATATTATGTGTTTCTCAGGCATATATTTAAATACTATACCATAATGAAGTATTTATGTCACTTTTAGTTGTTGTTAAAACACTATTTTTATGTTTAAATAGAAAATAAATTTATCTTCTCATCACTTCCTCTTCCAAACGCCTTGAAATTGGCCTCTGTCTCTTTAAGAACTACTTCGCTTCTGTCTTGCCCATTTTGATGCCTGGGGGGTGGGGGGGGGCTGCCATGATGCAGTTTACTTGGCTTCTGAAAATACATTTCCTCAAAGGTATTTTTAATCTGAAAAAAAGCTTCACTGAGTGAGAACTAATGTTGAGAGCCCAGCAGACAGTTAGGTTTCACTTTCACTTTCACCCGAGAGCCTGGAGGGGTCATGTGTGGGGTGGGGGGAGAGGGTGTGCGCTCTGCCATGAGGAAGTTCGGCATAAAGACACGTCCCAGGGGCGTTTCTGGTCCCCAAATGCTTTTCTGGTCCCCACCTGTCGTTTTG